ACATCCTTTGTATCAAGTATTTAGCTTAAATATAAACATAAATATAAAATTGGAAAAACAAGTGATTTTTAGAAAAAAAGGAGAAACAACAAATAACATTTCCGTAACCGTTGAGGAAAATAAACGATAAGATCCTGATTTTATATTTATAGACTACAGTGCTTTTAATAAGATGAAAGCAATATTATACAATGGAAAAGTCAACATTGAAATAAGAACTAGAGTATTGAGATGCTACGTGTTCTCTTTCCTGTTGTAGGGAATTGAGGCCTGGACAATTATAGAGGCGACAGGGAAAAGACTCATTAACTTTGAAATGTGGTGTTGGACACAACAGATAACAAATATGGAAACGCTACGAAGAATGAAAAAAGACAAAGAAATACCAACACAATAAAGAAAATAAAAATAAGCTACTTTGGTCACAAACTAAGAAACGAGAAATACGAATTGATGCAACTGAACATACAAGGGAAGGTGAAAGGCAAAAGAGGACCAGGGAGATGACGCACGTCCTGGTTGAAGAATCTGAGAAAATGGAGTGGGAAAGCGTCAATAGAACTTTTTAGAACGGCTGTAGATAGAGTCAAATGGGCCATGATGATCGTCCTTAGGGATGGGTACGTTAAGACATGTACAGTTGCACTTAATTTCGAAAATTAAGAATTAATTATTGCCATTATTACCTCGACAATACTTTGTTGGTCTTACCTGATTCTTGATCTGTTTCTTTCCTTGCTTTTCCATTTGATAATCTCTAGAGTTTTCAGATTTTGTTCTAATTGTTCCTCTTTCACTTCCTCTTGAAGTTTTTACTACTTGTATTTGTCGTGTTATTTTTTTGTATTTCAAACAAATATCCAATCTTAATATATGTTATGACGTTGGTTTTTTTTGTTACTGTGTACATTTGACTTACATTTTTTTTTGACGCCTCTATATAATATATGCCTTAGGATTTTATAGAATATGCCAAACTTGACATTTGGTATTTCTTTTAATGTAATAAAATTTTAGATGTTTAATTATTAGTCTATTATATATTTTATTCGCAATATTATCCTTCTTTTAAATTCTTCGCTCGCATTATTGTTAAACATTTAACGATTCCAATGTTGTCCTCTATGGTTGGACTCTGTAAGTCTGTCATTCCTTTTGAATTACTGACGTTTATTTTATTTTACTTTCATAAACTTCAAGGCCATTATTTTGACCTGGTAATTAAAAAAGTTTCTTTTAGTCTTAGGATACACATTCTGGGGTTTACTAGACATAAGCTTAATTTTTTTCTATAGTATGAAGTCCATGCCTATGGTACAATTTTCAGTGTTACAATTATAAAGTATTTTGTAGACTTCTTTTTCTCTATTATAAAGTAATAATAAGGTAAGATAAAAAGAAAGCAAAACTTTGGTATTGTAATAATGCCAAAAAACTCCAAATATCATTAGACCTATCCAAATAAATAAAATAACAATTTAATAAGTAAGTTGCAACCTTACCTACTTTGTCGCCTTTGTCTTACATTGGAATTTGTATAACTGGTATTACTTTCTAATTGTTCACTTGTTAATCCTAAAAAAGTTAATAATTATTTAATTACGTTAACAAAGAGTAGGCACTTTTAAAAAGTCAGATTTATTGTAATTAAGTTTATATGCCTTCTCATCCTCATTCATTTAGTCAGGGCGTTGTGGCACTCTAAATATTATCAACTTGCGGTCTCCATTGTCTGCGATCCTGGTCCATATGGACGACTTAAAGGTGGGATTTTTTCATCAGAGTCTTCATTTGGTCTGCCCATCGTGTTCTTTTCTCTTGGATTTCGGCCGTCTACCTTTCCTTTTACTACCAATAATTCCATGGTTACCGTTCTTCTAGCTATGTCGCAAAAGTATATTAGGTATGCTCTGTTTACTTTTTGAATAGCTTGTCTTGTATATAAAGCTCTTTTAGAATTGACACGTTGGCTCTGGTCTGACCAGGACACTTTTTTTAAGAGTTCATATTTCAGATGCGTATGTAGCAATGGGAAAAATGAGGACATTGACCAACCTGAGCTTAATATTCTTAGTTATTATTTTGTCTTTCCATATTTTAAGATGTTAATGTGTGATATCTTAGGAGATTTCTGAGGAGAAATCACCATTGTTGGATATTAGGGAGCCCAAGTATATAAATATGTTTTCTTTTTTTTTATCACGTGCCATATCAGAGTTTTCTGATGTTTGCGAAGGTATCTCGATTTTCTGCCACATGCATTAATGGTCCTACATTTGATGTCTCAGTCCATGCATGAATGTTCTTTAATCAAGAAATCTTTTTCTGCCTACACCTCTACCGTCTTTTATTTTGCCGTTAAGCATCAGTTTCAATATCCTATATCATTTGTTCCCTACTATATAACCCACATAAGACATTTTTCGGTGGTTAATAGTCTTTAACATGCGTCTATGAATCCACATTTAAAATGCTTCAATCCTGTTTATAATTATTACTTTTAGAGTCTACACTGACAGCCGCAGATCAGTGATTATGTTACTGGATTAACAAGCTGGAGGGCCCGGGTTCGAATCCCGGTACCGACCAAATTTTCAATTTCTAATTTAACTGAGCTGCCACCGTGTTTCGGAGGGACGTAAAGCCGTCAGTCATGGCTACGAAAGTAGTCGTTAAGTCATGTTAGGGGCGATTGCGCGACCTGTAAACCCTAACATTAGACCTTAGCCAGGAGGTTACACGAACTTTACTTTTAGTGTCCACACTTCTGCTTTATACAAAAGTACAGACCAAATAGAGCACTTCACGATTCTTTGGTCTAAGTTCTAAACTGAGGTGATTATTACAAATACATGTCTTTATTTTTATAAAAGTAGTTTCAGTAATTGCTGCTCATTATTTTATTTCTCTGCCTGTATCTAATTGGACCGATATAACAGTTCCTAAATATGTAATTTTGTAAAATTTTTCAACTTGGACTCCATTTAATTAAAGCTCTACATCTGGATGTGGGTTACGACTAAAGACATAAAATTTGGTTTTGTTTCAGTTTATTTTATTGCCTATTTCCTGTCCTACTTGGTAAATACAATCCAGCAGAAGTTAGAGACCGATATTTTCTGACAAAATTACTGTATCGTCAGCGTATCTAATTACAATGAGTAGTTCTCCGTTGATTTTGATCCAATTTTTTTTTATAAATTATTTTTTTTTAAAATTATTATGTTAGAAGTTTGATTTCAGTACAGATTTTTTATTAACCCATTCACTACCAAAGACGCTAATACGCGTCTTCTGTGTTTCATTTGTAACGCCAAGGACGTGAATACGCATTTTCGGACATTGTAAAGTATATTGCCTATAATATTGGCAGCGCTGAATATGCAGGTATAATATTTGGTTGGCGTGGTAGGGTGACCTTAAATTATATTACTTTGTTTGTTTGTTTGGGTCAGTTGTCATTTTGTTAGAGGGTGAAGAAGGTAACTGTTAAGTGTTCTAATGGATCGTCCAAGTACATCAAAAGATGCTTATAAAATGGAACATTCGGAAGGAGAAAAAGCAAAAAGGTAAATTTTAAAACTGCTATAAATTTATTAGCTTGATTGATACAGAAATATTTGAGGTTATGTTCGGTTTTAAATTTTAGGTGGCAATTCAAACGAAAATATACTCCACAGCAACACAGAGTTGCTGTTTTCTGTGGGAAATTAGACTCCGATGAGGAATCTGAAAACGATGAATCAACATCTGATGTGACGGAAAATGAAACATCTTCAGATGAAGAGGTTACGGTTGCTGAAAATCAAAATTCTGATACTTGGCATTGGGCAGATAACGAATATTTACAGCAAATAGACTTTACGGGTATGCAAATTCCACTAAATCTTAAGAATGACGAACCGTATTCGTATTTTAATTTATTCGCTACACCTGAATTTTACAACCTCCTTCTTACATATACAAACAAATTTGCAGAAGAGATTTTTTTAAGAGGTGTGGCTGAACATTCTAGAATTATTGCATAGAAAGTTGTGTCTCTGAATGAATTTAAAGTATTTTAACTGGACTAAGGACTATTGTACCACACAGGTATAAGAAAGCTGAATAGAAGAGAAGATTATTGAAATACCACTTTTCTGTTCAATATTCCTGTATTTAGAAATTTTATGTCCCGTAATCGATTTCAAACCATTCGGAGAGCAATACATTTTGTAGATAATCATGTCATGTGTTTGTCTTTTTAAAGACGAATTACATGCTATGATTTTTTCTGACGGATATTCTCAAGTTAAAGTTGATTTCATGTAATCGAATGAACTATCTTATAAGTAAAGTCGTCCCAAGAGCGCAACTCAACAATATTGGCAATATCATTTTAAAGTCGTCTACTTTAAAATGCATAGTGCATGTCTAAATTGTCAATATACATGAGTCAGAATTTTTCACTATGTAACAAAAAACAAAATTTGTTTAATTTACTATTTGTATTTTGAGACCGATTTCCGAAGTGGAAATTGAAACGTCAATAAACGTATTTTTATCTTTAATTGTGGCTTTTTTCCAGTTAAATAGTAATTAATTTACAATGAAACAAGAAAATAGCTTCACACCCAATTGGGTATCTTCCAGATCTTCTTCGCATTTGAGTCTAATTCTGGTGTGGAGTATTCTTAGGAAAATCTTAAGAGTGTGGCTCATTAGGGCAAATAATCGATATTCTGAGCATTTTCTAGTATTGTGATTTTATTATAGGTATTGCAAAAAAGATGGAATTAAGAGAGTCTGCAGGAATCACTCCAGTGTTATATATTGCAATAAAAACTTTTACTAGTATTTTTATGTTATCTTCATCTATTAAATTTAGCAACTCAGTTGGTGTATCATCTGGATCTCAAGCTTTCCTGATTTTACCATTTTTTAAAGCGTGTTCTATCTCTGATTTTATAATTTCTGGGCCGTCAGTACAATTTTGGTAGAATTCGGTAATATTATTTCTGTCATCTTTAAACAACTGATATATGGTTGATATTCTGTTGACATTTTGTTCTCATTTATAATAATTTTGTTGTTATTATCAACTAGTACAGAAGGAAATCGTTTTTTAAAAATGTTGCTAGACAAAACTGCCTACCACTTCGAGATTCACCATACGGTAGAGTATTATTAGCTCTGTCTGCGCTCATTATTTTTGTTTTTCCGGTGTTGATCTGAAGTCCGAATTTTTCTCTTTTGTGGAGTATCTGTTCAGTTCAGTATCCGTATGGTAATAATTTATATACATCTTGAAACTTAATACGAATAATAAAAATTGAAAAACCGGAAGCTGTTGAGATATGAAGAAACATCCTTATATTATATTGAGTACATTACACTTTTCTATAATAAGATAAGATAAGAATAAGATAAGGATCAAAACAACTAAAGAAGCCGTAACGTTATAAATGTCACATGTTTTGAGTCACAATGAGTCACAATAAATGTCACAATGAGATTTTTCTTTAACTACTTTATTTTAATTACTTTCGATTGTATTCATTCATTTACTTATCTCTTGCATTTTACTATTTTTATTCTAAAAATAGTTGGCGCTTAACTCTTTAATTTTATATGTACTAAAGAGATTCTGTCGTAATCTAAATTTTAATTCCTTTATTCCTATAAATCCTATAATTCCTTAATTTAGACCCTATTTTGTTTTATGCCGTAAAACATAAAATTTATATGACACACTTCAGTCGACAAAGTATATCTATCAGTTGACAACTCTCGATTTGTCAGTTGTACTTCAGTTCTATAGAAAGGGAAATAATCTTCATATATACAATGACATGCCTCTATTAAAAATTAATTTTATATATTAAATTTTTTCTGGGGTGAAAACATTTCTAGTTGATGAGTTTATTTTTATATCTGTCTTTTTATAATTTTATTTTTTAAACATACATAGCCTAAGTTTTTTTTTGCTGTTCTCCCTTGTTGGGTGGAACCTTAAAACAAAACGCCATGTTCCACCATAGAAAGGGCTGACAACTGCAACAGCAAAGCAAATACGCAGAACTTAATAGGTGTTTTGGACCATAACTTGATTCCGACATCTCCACCAACGTAAATGCCATCAGCAAGCTATCCTATGAAGCCGTTAATAAGTCAACCACAGGTAGCCATAACTATCATTTAAAAATCTTTTTTGTAAAGCTGTAGGCAAGATTTGTTTTGATTTTAATTTAATATTTAAATTTAAATTGTATATTTATTTATGTATAATAAATATTATTTTCTTGGTTAATTATTTGTCAGCCAAATTCATTTTTTAGATTTACTTATAAGATAAGTCGTTCTCACACCTGAGAGATTGAACTAGACGGTCTAGAGATTGAACTAGAGGTCTTACAATTGGCTGCCAAAGAAAGTTGTGAGTTTTGTTATTCTACATTGGCTCCCAACTTTCAGAGGTACAGTGAAAGCCAAATAAAGTTGCGTTCACGTCATCATTGTGAACATTTGCAGCGTTGTCAGATGGTTTATGAAGTATGAAAATTAACAGAAAAGAACTTAAATAAACAAAAAAGGTGAAGATAGCAAATTTCA